TCACATGGGGTAAATGATGCATTGCTTTTGAGTACACTTTCAAGAAGCACCACACCATTTAAAGCCATTTATTCCCATGGTGCCGTAGATATGTGTTCTGGATCGACTGCTGCGAGCAGCCCCAAATTGGACGGATCGGAATGGACGGCAGCAAGCCACGTGTCATAATCGATACAGAAATAAGTGTTCCCTCAGCCTTGACCATTGACCACATCAACAAAAGGATCTACTGGGCTGACGAGAACCATATCTTGTTTTCGAACATGGATGGTACAAAAAGACACAAAGGTATGTTTTGCCTTGTCTCGAATGTTGTCTCTTTTCGAATTGTCCTCAGTAATATCTCTCAATCCCAATTTCCAGTCCCAATCAAGGACATAGGTGGCATAACCGGTCTCACACTCTTTGAGGACTTCATCTACTGGAGCGACCAGAAGTCAAAAACCCTCAGTCACTCGCACAAGACGTCCGGCGGCCAACATACAGAACTCCTCAGCTCCTGGCAAACCATTCGAGACATTAAAGTCTACCACCCACTCCGACAGCCTGATGGTATTACAGCAAGAAACTCAGTCTTCAGTTGACTTTTTGTGCTAGAGTCATGTTGTTTCGGGCTTGTTTCTTTATTGTTTGTTGTTTGTCCTCAGTGCCAAAGCATCAGTGTCAAGTGACTAATGGAGGGTGCAGTCACCTATGCCTTCTTTCCCCTGGTGGGGGATACAAGTGTGCTTGCCCTACACACTTCTACCTGGCAAACGACAACAAAACATGTCTGTCTAACTGCACCGCCAGCCAGGTGTGACTTTATAATTACCTCAGGAGCCAGAATAAGGGTTTCGCCGTAGCTCAACTACTCTTGGCACCGCTTTCAACTACCAATTATATCTATGTGTGTGTAGTTCCGCTGTGGTACAGATGAGTGTATTCCCTTCTGGTGGAAGTGCGACACTGTGGATGACTGTGGAGATGGATCCGATGAGCCGGCAGATTGCCGTAAGTAACCAAACATGGTAGCAATCAGCCAAACTGGTTAAGCCATTGAAAAATGTGAATGTAGTGTCTTTAAGACTCAAGATGTAGCAAGCTGCCTACCTAAAGCGCCTTCTAAGGGATCATAGATGAGGTTTGGACCGAGTTGCTTTCTACAAAATCTTTTTTGGTCAAATTTGAAGGCGGCATTGCATGTATCCATTGCAAATTCAACAAGTGCAAAAATGTTTCCAAGATGGCAGTTTTTTTGTTTTACTACCTCTGTTGTTTTTTTTTTTTTGTTTGTTTAT